ACAACGATTATATGTAGTTGATGTATTGGCAGGTTTTAACAAAAAAACAGTATATCATATATCAGCACGTCATCTATACTAATATAAAAAGGGAAACCAAGGCAATACCCGTTCCTTCATCAAAATTTAACTGTTCGATTAAGTGGTGCCGCTTCCTGATTTCTAGCTTTGGCCACTATTGGGCACTATTTGATCATCACGTATTTTCCAAATGGGTGGGAATCAAACAAGAATGTGTGGGTAGCCATCCGAGTCCCTAACTTATTTTATTTGTAATAAAATCGTCCCCAAGCTTGCTCTTCCATTTATGAGGATTCCTATGGGGGATGCTTTACTCCTAACACCATAGATTATTAGATTTCAAAGCCAAAGTTGTGTAAGATCTTTTCATCTATTTCTCAGACCTTACCGTTGATACTGATTCATTCAAAACAGACTCCCATTTCTTTGTCTTATCAGCGCAGGTGTTCGTAAATGATGAAAGCCGCTGAACTTCAGTCTTCAGACCCCCGAAACAACCAGATCAGACCACCAGTCCACCACCACTTACAACTTCAGTCTTCAGACCCCTGGAACAACCAGACCACCAGTCCACCACCACTTACAACTGCTTTCACTCCATAAAACATTCATGTGTTCGCACTAGAGAGATAGAGGAGTGTTGGGCTAAAAACACCGTGACCCGGTAAAAAAACAAGCACACACAATATAGTTATCTCTTGATGCTCACCAAAATGACAACAAATAGTAACTAACGGTGCATGGCCATGAGTTTTTAAAATATGTGTAACTAAAAATAGTGAAACAGGTATTATTAATACTATCTCCGTTCTCTTTTAATTGCCACGTTACACTTTATGCATTGTTCACATACTCTACTTTGACTATATTTTATTTATTAATGTATTATAAATTAAATTTTCAAAAAATATTTTTAAATTTCTCTCATTCTAAATTTTCAAAATATGAATTTTTTAATTTTTTTTACTAATAAGAAAAGGTAAAAACTAATAGTCTAATTTGTGTGTTGGCAAGCGTAAAAAGTGGATCGTTGCCATTATAAAAGAACAGAGGAAATATTGTATTTTTGACTTTGTATAGAAGTATGTGGTGGATACTTTTCTTTAATTTTGGCCCTTGCAATAATTATAACCGGGGGCGTACAGACGGAGTTAAGAGGGCCAACTTAGGCTATGCCCCATCCCAAATTTTAACATTTTTTAAGAAGTTGTGTAAAATGATTTAAAGGATATAACGTTCTATTTTATCATTTAATTTATTATTTTGTACATAATAATGAGTATTTTTCATATTAACTCATATTTAAGACACTTGATTATTAATTAAAATGACATTTTAGTAAGACATTTTGCTTTATTTCAAATGACAGAAAAAGATCTTTTTTTCTAATAGTCATTTAAAATAAGCATATGTTTATAACTACTTCCAATGCAAATAATTGGTTAAAACATACACATACTCCCTTCGTTTCACAAAACTTAGTCAACTTCTTTTTTAATTGTCCCCAAAAAGTTTATCATTTTCATGTTAAGTAATATATTTGTTGAAGTGGTATTTCAAACTTTTACACAAATCTTAATTACACAATTGTTTATCAATACAAATGCAAATTGACTTTGGCCAAATTTAGTCTAACGTAGAGAGTATTATTGTCCCGTGCATCGCACGGGTACAATACTAGTTAATTAAAAAACACAAGCCACTTTCTATAATTATCACTGATCTTACGAAACAAAATACTTCCTCCGTTTTATAATTCTTGCAAATTTTTACACTATTCACAGATCTTACTTTGACCATGATTTTCTACTAATATACATAATCAAATTATTACGTATAAAATGTTATTGAACTCTTATCAATGTGAATTTCCAAAATATCAACTTTTTATAATGTTCACTAATACATAATTAAATATAATTACAGTCAAAGTTGTGCACAAACGTGAAAGTCTGTTGCAAGAGTTTTATAGAACGAAGGATAGTAAGGGAGTGTTTGCAATTGCTTCAACTTTAAAAAAGTGATTTTTTAAAGTGATTTTGGGAAAAGTGATTAATAATAAAAATTGGTAGTGTTTGAGAAAAAAGTGATTCTGAAAAAGTAAAAGTTGGTAGTGTTTGGTAAAATAAGTACTTTTTGTGTAATAGAAAAAGTGAAAAGCAGTTTAAAGCACCCTTCCACCTGCTTCCAACTTTTAGCTTTTAAGTGATTAATTAATTTAAGCAGAAGCTGTCATTTGAAAACACTCTTTTTAGCTTTTTTTAAACCAAAAACTGAAAATCACTTTTTTTAAGCAACCGCAAACACTGCTTAAATGGGACATTCGAGATTTTGAGGCCTCTAGTAGGGTCAACGGTCAACCCATTATTTTTAGACAAAAACGTCTGCAGCCTGCACTGATCAAAATATAGGCAATATACTCCGTATATAGCCATAGGGAGTAGGTCTGCAGGTGTAGAATATGTTATCCGAGAATCAAAAATAAAAAAATACAACAATTTTTGATATACCCACTCTTATACCCACCATGTTTGTGGAGATTTTTTTTTTGTCTGTGAACCCGGTTCATAGACAATATTTTGTTTGTGCAAAATATTGTCTGTGAGCCGGGATTCACAGAAAAAACACTTCACAAACATAGGTGGGTGCAAAAGTGAGTATAATAGTGGATACAAAGATCATTTTTGTAAAAAATATACTACGTATTATTTTCCTTATTTCATTAAAATTGTTACATTTTTCCTTTTCGAGAAAAAATCTCTAATACTATCTCACATCAAATTTAATAAAATTTGTGTGACTCTAAATGTTTTTTACTTTATTCTTATTTTATCAATTCGATATCAACCACATAAATTCTCTTTTCTTAATAATCGTGATTCGTGTCACATACTCATGTTCTAATGTTAGTGAGACAGAGATGATAATTCTAAGTATATAAATTACTCCCTCCGTCCCGGAAAATATTAAGAAAATATATTTTTTGAGGGGTAAATTTTACTGTTTTGACACTGTTTCGACACTGTTTGACACTGTTTTGCACTGTTTTTATGTAGACAATTTGCCAAATAAGTAAATGTTTGAAAGTGAGACTTAATTTTGGTATTGTCTGTAAAGAAAGGTGAAACTTGTTTCCAAGACAGACGGAATATTAAGGGAGTGTTTGCAACAGCTTCTGCTTAAAAAAAAGCACTTTTGGAGTGATTTGGAAAAAGTGATTATTTGTAAAAGTTGATAGTGTTTGAGAAAAAAGTGATTTTGAAAAGTAAAAGTTGGTAGTGTTTGGTAAAATAAGTGCTTTTGGTGTATAAAAAGTGGAAAAGCACTTTTGACACGAAAGCCGAGAAAAATAAAAAATTGGTAGTGTTTGGTAAATAAGTGCTTTTTTAAGCCAAAAGCTGAGAAGTGCTTTTTTTTAAAGTGGTTGCAAACCAGCCTTAAATACACTACAATTTTGGGTTCCCACCGACTGTTGCTTAGTGCCTTTTTATTAGGGAACATCAGTTACTGGTTGAAACTGCGCTCACTCAATCCTGTTTGCCATTGTCCTTCTTTAGCGCTTAATTACGAAGTACGTAGTATTTGGTAGTGTTCTAAACTTCTAACCTATGCAATATTTGTGTCTCAGATAGTAGTTCAAAATTTGAAGTCATTATGCTCATTGTTTAAGTTTATCACGATTTGATTGATTTAATGAGCTGTGATATTATATACTTCGAATTAAAATTTTGAAGTGTCATTAGGAGTAAAAACGAGCCAATAATTTATATGTTGATTTGTGTTTATACTTTATTGGTGTAAGATGATTGAAAATGATATTTTCACTAACGTTTAAGAGGCCGTTTGGGACAACTTTTTTTCGTTTCATCATAACTTTTGTTTTCGCGCGTTGAATTGTGTAATAAGCCGAAAAAGTAAGGTTGTAATTACTTTTCTGGCTGTATTAGTTGAAGTTACTGTATGTGACCATTTTAGCTATTTTTACATATATTTTTTTCTTTATTTTATTAATAAAATATATTTTAAAAATATTTTTTCCTTAAATCAGCAGAATCGGCCAATGCAGGCACTTCAGTCAGAACTTCATAAATTTCAGCAGAAATAGCCAAATCAGATGATTTTGGTGCTACCAAATGGACTCTAAGTTTATCATGATTAGAGCATCTGTAATTTTATTTTTTGACATAGCAAATTTTGCCACATCATCAATTTAAAAGTGTGATTTCTACTCCGTATTTTTTATTTATTTATCACCAATGCATTCTTTTAGGAATCCTTTTAATTTGATGTGGACTCGATGCATTCAACACATCTGCTACTTTTAGGAATCCTTTTTTATATCTACTACTTTGTTAGGATATAGAAAACACGCATAACGCTGTTAAGGCTCCATTAGACACAATTCTATGAAAAAATAATGCTTCTCCGAAAAAAGTAGCGTTAATTGCTTTTATTATTTAATGTTCACCGTATTTTTATTGTTTTTATAGACTCAGTCTCCGTATATTTTTAATAATAATAATAATACGTGGAGCCTTCACCGTATTTAAGCATTATTGTTTTATTATTAAAAAATCATTTTCATGTTCAACGATTTTTATTGATATTGACATATTGTTACTAGATAAATCCAAAGAAGAGTACAGATGTTCGAAGAATAAACAATCAAATAAGGAGGAATTAAATACCTGGTGAAGAAAAATATCCAATTAGTGGTAAAGAGCGTTTGTATGTACACCGAAAGAATAAATGAAAATTTTGAGTCGCCGAATAAATGAAAGAGTAACCACCACAAATTTTACCTCTATCATCTACAAATATTATTATCTTTGTCGTATTAAATAATAATGTATTTATCTAGGGATTACTTTGTAATTTTCAGCACTATGTTTTATTATAAATATAGAGTCAAGGCACCCAAGAGGGTAAGCCATTATTTTCCCAAAATTATTATTTTGTATATGGTATCAGTCGCTAGGGTTTTCTGATTCATCGTTCACGTCATGGCCGGCGTTCCTATGACCAACGCCGCCCCAACAGTCACGGCGCCCATTCCATCGGAGCAGCCGCAATCTTCAATACCGGTATCATCCACCATGCTAGACAGCTCTGCGGCTTCGTGGTCCAGCAGTACCACTCGCTCACTGCCACTTTCTTCCGCCGTCATTCAGCCGCCATTCATCGATGCGCAGAATCGCTCTCCGCTTGCAGCGTCCCTATCACAGCAAATTGCCTCCATCCCGTCTATGGAGTCCTACCGGTTATTTCAGATGCCAGAGCCTTTTTCTTATACACCGACCCCTCTAACTCCTCCACCCATTGTTACTACCATGCCTCAGGAAATAGGCAGTCAAAATATGGACTTCTTTGGCCCCACCTTTTCAGGTCATCATGGTGTGGCTCCACTGATGAACGTACAACAGCAAGGTATGCCTGGCTTTACACAGCCTGCATCGTTTTTATCTTCTTTGGCTTCACAACTTGCCTTTTCTACACCCAACGTGAATAATATTGTTACTACACGATTATCTGCTGTTGAAGATTATTTGCCCTGGCGTACCCAGTTTGAATCCTTCTTAGTATCTCATAGTCTCTTAGGGATACTAGATGGATCCATTCAGGTACCGCCACCTACTGTTTATGACCGGGTCAGACGGGAGACTCCGAATCCTGATTATCATCACTGGCTAAAAATAGACCAGACTGTGCGTTCTTGGATTTTTGCTACACTTGCTAGAGATATTCTCATGGAAGTTTATGACTTAAAATACTCCAATTTAATTTGGGATCGTCTTCAGAAAAGGTTTATGGCAGCTTGTCTTTCACGTTCCATTGAACTTAAAAGATCGTTGTCTCATGTGAAAAAGAAAGAGTCTCAAACTATGGATCAATATCTGTTAGAGATTAAAATTATGGCAGATTCTCTAGCAGCTATTAATTCTCCAGTCAGTGAACGTGATCTTGTTGAGTATGCCATCATTGGTCTGGGACGTGGATTTGAGTCTCTCATTACCTCCATTGACTACTTTCCAATACAAGTCACACTTGAAAATTTACGTCCAGGAATCGGCTCCAGTGCACCAGGCCTTCATTGCGGCACCAGCACAGGCCCCAGCACCTGCAGGCCGAGGGGGTGCTCGGGGTGGTGGTCCTCCACGTGGACCAGGTGGTGGCCGAGGATATAGAGGTGGCCGACCTCGTGGTGGACGAGGCCGGGGTGGTCGCGGTGGATACTACCAGCAGCAGCAACCGTATGGTGCTCAGCCATACGGTGGATATCATGGGCAGCAGCCTATTCCTCCACCGCCACGTCCTCCTTCATTCTCTGGGGTCCCAGGTTCGGTATCGTGTAATCTCACTTCTGGTAGTAATTATACTGTTTATTTTCCTACTTCTGCTACTCACAACTTTAGTGCAGGTTTTCCATCTGTGGATGCTTCCTACCAAAATCCTCCAAATCCAGTTGTTTGCCAGTTGTGTTTTTCTCCAGGTCACTCCGCACTAAACTGTTCCCGTTTCATTGGCTCCAATTCTCCCGCTCTAGCTGTTATGCCCACTGGTGAGACTAATGACTCGGTTTGGTATCCTGACTCGGGGGCTTCCGCTCATATGACTCCTCATGAAGGTATTCTATCTTATAAAACTCCTTACACTGGCCCAAATCAAGTATGTGTCGCTAACGGTACACAATTACCTATTTCTCACATTGGTCAGTTAAAGCTTGTCACACATGGTCGCCCGCTAAGTCTTAACTCAGTTTATCATGTCCCTCACATTAAATATAATTTACTTTCTATTCAAAAATTGTGTGCGGACAATGCCTGTCAAGTAATTTTTGATAAAAATTCTTTTTCTGTTAAGGACAACCAAACGGGGGAGCTTCTTCTTCAGGCAACCAATAAAGACCATGTTTATCCCTTCCATGCCCTTCAAGTCCGAGTTGTCCCTGGTCCAGTTTGGCACAAGCGTCTGGGGCATTGTGGTGATAGAGTTCTTGGAAGTCTTAGGCAGCAAAATTTAATTTCTAGTTCTTCTTCTTTTTTACATGATTGTGTTTCTTGTAAACTGGGTAAATCCCACAGACTCCCTTTCAATGATGCTACTCATGACTCTACTGCACCTTTACAACTCATTCATTCTGATGTTTGGCAATCGCCAATTTTATCCAATCTTGGTTTTAAATATTATGTGTCTTTCATTGATGATTTTTCTAGGTATACTTGGATATATCCTATGCGTAGGAAATCTGAAGTGTTTACTCATTTTTCTAATTTCCAAAAGCTTGTTGAAAATTTGTTGAATTTAAAAATAAAAGTTTTTCAGAGTGATGGTGGTGGCGAGTTTGATAATAATGTGTTTCGAGAACACTTCTTGAATTCTGGAATTTTATTTAGAAAGTCTTGTCCGGATACTCCAGCTCAAAATGGCGTAGCAGAAAGAAAACATAAACATTTACTTGAATTAACTAGGACTATGCTAATTGATTCCGCTATTCCTGGTCAATTCTGGGTTGATGCTTTGTACACTGTGGTGTTTATTATTAATCGTCTTCCTACGCCTATTTTGGGTGGACTTACTCCGTATGAAAAACTTTTTAATAAAATCCCGGATTATAATTTTTTGCGCGTGTTTGGTTGTTCATGTTTTCCAAATTTTATTGCTGCCTCTCATAACAAGCTCTCACCCCGCTCTACGCACTGTGTTTTCATTGGATATGCCCCGGGTTACAAGGGCTATCGTTGTCTTTCTCCTTCTACCGGTTGTGTTTATGTTAGTCGGGACGTTACTTTTCATGAAAATAGTTTTCCGTATCCACGTTTAATCCCCAAACCAGCTGATACTACACCATCACTCCCATCGTCCTGGCTTTCTTCATCTGGCCGTACAGTGTCCCCAGCCCTCCCTACCAATAACCTGGACCAAACCTCCAATATGCCACCTCTTCATACACCAGAACACTCACCCACAACAACACCTCTGACACCTCACTCAACCCCATCTGCTTCCCCACCTTATACACCCAGGACTAGTAATTCCCACCAGGCCGAACATCATCCCAGTTCTATGACTTCTACCCACCAGTCCACTACTATACCATTATCCCCATCAACCCGTAGCTCAGCCTCCACACCCTCGGAAAACAGTCCGCCACCTGCTCTCCAAAATATTCACCCCATGCGTACTTGTGCCAAAGATGGCATTTTTAAACCTAAACCCATTTTTAATTTGAGTGTTGTCTCTCCCCCTGAGGATCCTACTTGTTTTACACATGCTAATAAGAGTAATATTTGGCGGGCAGCCATGGCTGATGAATTTAATGCTTTGATTGCTAATAAAACTTGGGATTTGGTACCTTGGGACCATACTAAAAATGTGATTGGCTGTAAGTGGATTTATAAGACAAAATATCTCTCTGATGGGTCTGTTGAACGTCATAAAGCTCGATTAGTTGCTCAGGGTTTTAAACAACAAGCCGGCATTGATTTCACTGAAACATTTAGTCATGTGGTTAAACCCACTACTGTTCGTCTTCTTTTATCTGTTGCCATTTCCTTGGGGTGGTCTGTCAGACAACTAGATGTCAAAAATGCTTTTCTACATGGTTACTTAAGTGAGGAGGTATACATGCGTCAACCTCAAGGTTTTGTTCATCCTTCTTTTCCTAATCATGTTTGTCGTCTACGAAAAGCTCTCTATGGTCTCAAACAGGCTCCCAGAGCCTGGTTTCATCGCTTCAGTGGTTTCTTGTTGAGTCATGGTTTTTCTCAAAGCAAGTCTGATTCTTCCATGTTCATTTACCGTTCTCAGTCCCAGGTCGTCTATATTTTACTGTATGTGGATGATATTCTGATCACAGGTTCTTCTCCTTTATTTGTTAAATCTGTCATTCACAAACTTTCTCTTTAGTTTGCTATGAAGGATCTGGGAGACCTTCATTATTTTTTGGGCATACAGGCCCGTCGCACATCACATGGGCTATTCTTGTCTCAGGAAAAATATATTTCAGATCTTTTGCACCGTTTTCATCTTCATACCGTCAAACCGGTACGTACTCCTCTTCCTTCACGCACTACTCTTTCTCTCACAGATGGGGAACTTTTAGCTAATGCCACTGAGTATCGCAGTATGGTAGGAGCTCTACAGTATTTAATTATAACTAGACCTGATATTACATATGCTGTTCATATGGTATCTCAGTTTATGCATGCCCCACGTACTGCTCGTTTATTAGCTGTTAAGCGAATTTACAGGTACCTACAGGGCACTTCGAGCCATGGACTGTGGCTACGGTCTGACAAGAATATTTCTGTCATTATGGCTTATTCTGATGCAGATTGGGCTGGTTGTCCTGACAGCTCCCGTTCTACTACTGGCTATGCCATTTTTCTGGGATCAAATTTAATCTCTTGGCGGTCCAAGAAACAACCCACGGTGTCAAAATCTTCTACTGAAGCGGAGTACAGGGCCATAGCATATACTGTTCAGGACACTCTTTTTGTTCGCTCACTGTTGGTCGACATGGGGATTGTTATTTCTACTCCTGTTCAGCTACATTGTGATAATGTGTCTGCATCATACTTAGCAGTAAATCCCATCCAGCATGATCGTAGCAAGCATATCAAGATTGACTATCATTTTGTCCGAGAACGCGTGGCGCATGGAGATCTTGTTGTGAAGTACATACCCACTCAGTTGCAGCTTGCTGATATATTTACCAAGAATTTATCTAGTCAGCGTTTTGAATTTTTGCGTTCCAATCTGCGCGTTGTTTCCCCTGCACAGATTGAGGGGGTGTAATAATGTATTTATCTAGGGATTACTTTGTAATTTTCAGCACTATGTTTTATTATAAATATAAGGTCAAGGCACCCAAGAGGGTAAGCCATTATTTTCCCAAAATTATTATTTTGTATATTAAATACCGATCTAATGAAACTGAAAAAACTAATAACGTTTTATAGAATTGTACCATAGACACGGATTTGCATGCCATCCATTTCGATTTTCTGGTTGTGCATACACATCAATTGTCTATGTACAAAAAATGTTACACACGTGAAAAAATGTATAACTACATGTCTAGCCTACATGCATCATTAGTTATCTATTCGCATATAGACAGAGTTTGTGTGCGATGTTTATTGGTTTTCATGTACCTAAACACTTATGGTTCTGTAAATTAAAAATATGCAAACTAATGTGAGTCTTGCAAAACAATGCTTGTATATAGACATTAGTTACATGTATACACTCAAAAAGTGTCAGTGTCCATACATTTTTGTCTGCGCGCAAACATTTCTTGTTAGTAAAGTCTGGTTTAATTTATGTACTAATTTTTCAGATGTTTTACGAATAGTTACGTACTGATTTTTAAATTTAATTTCTTCACACAGACAAATTTTATTAAAACTTAGAACGATACAAACAATATTCCAATGACATTTTATGTTACTACAACTCCGATTATCTTTCCGGCAATAACATTTCTGGTAAAATTTACAGGTGACTCCAACTCCTTTAATGATGAAGTAGGTAAGATGAAAGATGAGGTCACCTGTGGATCCCCTTTGTTCAAAGGGGTTCATGTGAACACCCAAAAAATTGAAAATGAATTGTTAAAATAGACATACCCAAATTGATGTGATAATTTATATAGTGTATGTATTTTTTAGATAATATCTCTTACATTTAATCTTGTTTATCAGTTTTTTGTTGTTAAAAACGGAACACATGTTCAATTGTTGGATTGATCAATATTATTTTTCAACATTTTAATGATAAATTAATTTGGAACATCCAATCTTTGATCGCAAGATTGACCACTAGATGGGGTGAAAATGAAAGACGATAAAGATGATGATGAAAGATGAAAATGATCAAGATTTCAAAAAAAGGAAGAAAGAAATTGATGGGAAATGGAAGGAGGGAAGTAGGGAACCAAAAGGAACAAAGAAGAAATTAAAGAGGGAGGTGTGGAAAATGTTAAAAAGAAATTGTTAAAGATACACAAAAAAGTATACATGTACCATTTTTTATATTTGGTAATGTCATATAGCAGATTAAGAAAAATCATGAATTAATTTATACTACCTCCGTCCTACTAAGATGTTCCTTGTTAGACTTACACACATATTAAGGAAATAAACTTATTATGGGGTAAAATTTATTGTTTTGACACTGTTTGTCACTGTTTGACATTGTATTACACTATTTTAATGTATGGTAACTTTCCATTTAGGAAAAAGAGATCTTTTTTAGACTGCTAAAAAGGGAAAACGAGAACTTCTTAGCGGGAGGGAGGTAGTATATACTTCATTTTAGTTCGTATTAATTTAAAGCATGGATGGTGCACTCAAATTTACAAAACGATGGTGATACGCGGCATCCGTGAGATTTATCTTTCATCTTTTTGTTCATTGCCAAAAGTGCCAAGTGCCAATAAGAGCATCTCCAATGTTAAAACGTTAACGGTGCATACGTGGCATGAGAAATAACCAATTAAAAAACAATAAATCCAATATCTCTCTCCTTCTTTCCACGGTCTTATGTGTTTATGGTAAGTTTTTGTCTGCAATGTCAATCACAATGTCTACATCTTGACATTCTGCTTGACATTGTGAAGAAAAACTTACCAAAATGATGTAACTTGTAAGATCCTTCAAATAAGGAGAGAGATATTATATTTATTATTTTTTAATTGGTTATTTTCCATGCCACGTATGCACCGTTAACGTTTTAGCATTGGAGATGCTCTAACTTTTTTTAAGGACTGTTCTTCACATAGAAGCTGAATTCACAAAGACAATTTCGTACACCTTCAAAAAATGCAATATTTTTTTATGAATTGTATGTACACATAAACGGTTAAGAGTAGGGGTGGGTATAACGGTTTGGTTTAACCGAACCGAACCGTACCAAACCGAATTAAACCGAAGCGAAACCAAACCGTATACAATTTGGTTTGAGTTTGATACTATTTCTCCCAAACCGTATTAAACCGAACCGAACCGAAACCGATAAAAACCGAACAAAACCGAACCGAACTAAAGAAATTTAAAAAAACCTTCATATATAATTAAAAATTAACAAATCCAAACCGAACCAAACCGAAC